AAAAGAAAAGAAAAAAAAAGAAAAGAAAAAAAAGAGTTGTTCTCCACGATAAGTGTGTAACAGACCTATCCGTGGCGCATATCTCACATCACTACTATTATTGTGTTTATAATAACGGAAATAATTTATGAATAAGTTTGCTACTGATTATGTTTAGAGTTATTTATTTATTTTCTACATTTAAAATAAAAAATTATTTAGTATTTATTTTTATTTTTAAGATAGTGTAATCAAGTTACAAATTTTACTAAATTAAATATATATATATATATATATATATTTTCACTATAGGTTCGAAGTCTTTGTTGGTAGTCACTCGCATTATTATTTGTGGATGTTACCTTTGTCCATAGTCTACCACCTCTGGTCACCATCGTTGGTGACCCTCTTAGATTTTGGAGACCACCTCCAACTACCATTGCGGGCGAGTTCCTCTTACATTTTTTCATCACCTCCCATGGTCGACTACCAATAACTATGTTAACATATAATATACTTTCATATAATGCCTTAGTAGCTGTAAATGTACATTACAGTGCATTAGGAGCTGTAAAGCCAACACCCACTACCACTTTCAGCTTTAGATTCCACTTTGATATTATTGTAATATATTACCTTATGGCTTCGTACTCCATTGTATCCTTCTGCTCTCTATAAAGAGAGAGACCTAATTCTCTTGTAAACATAGAAATATATACAACAATCTTGTAACATATTCAATCCATCAATAATATACATCAATATATTTTACATGGTATCAGAGTAAGGTTAAAGATCTTGGTGTTCTTCGCCTTCCGGCGGGCGGCAACCTTGCCTTGACCGCCCGCCGGATCTCAACCAATTCAATCTTCCCATCGTCAGCAACAACGACTGGATCTGCACCTTGAGTAATCACAGTAATCCTCTTGTGTTCCAGATGCCTTTGGCCATTTGGAAATTTTCAAAGCTATCTCCTCGACATTCTCTGTCTCCTAGCCATGAACTTTTGAAAAGGTTCTTGCCTCTGTCTCATTTCCAAAAACAAAGTCCATATACGGCAAAGCCTTAACTTGCGCATCCTTCTACACCTCACCCTCTTCACTCGATCATGGCTCATCCTGATGGTCCACGGCTCCGGCAACGACATCAGCTGGACATTCCAGTCCACCCCCATCTTCCTCCCCGATGTCGATCTCGCCTGCTTCGCCCTCGATCTCGAAGGCCATGGCCAGTCCAACGGCCTCACAGCCTTCCTCCCCGATGTCGATCTCGTCGTCGATGACTGTCTCAATTTCTTCACATTTATCACTGCCAACTATACACAAGCTTCATGTGCTCCCGGCTATGCTTCCGATTCGCATCCACAGCTCTCTCAAAATTGATTACTCATATTTTTATTAAAGTTAAAAAAAACCAAATGGGGTTTAGAAACAAAAACAGGCAGCCGTCCTCCACATCATCAGCGATCTCGTCTCTCTCCTCTTCTATTTGATGAGCTCACCGGCAACAATGGGGTTTAGACCCGATGTGATGAAATCTGTTGGTAAACTCTGTTGGCAGTGCCTGTGCCCCTCCCAGACACTGCCGTTACGGCAATCTTGGTCCACCTCCACCGGTCCGTCTGCCACCGTCGTCAACCAGCACCACCATCGCCGTTCTCTATATATATCCATCACCGTCACAGCCATCGTCAGCCACCACCGTTTGGATGTGTTTTTCTGATAAGCCTTGGAAGGTCTTTCATTCGAATATCCTTTCTCCCCAGATCTCAACCTCTGTTGTTGAACCCTATAACAGTGTCTTGTCCACTCACCCATGTGACCCACACTCACACACACACCCTTGCAACCCATTTTAATATATTAACATCACTATCCTAGCCCACAGGTTTCGAAAACCCCCACCGGATTTATTTTATTTTCATCATCACTTTGCTGGTGCACATTCTAATTCTCATTATTTTTATTATTATCACATGGGCGTGTTGCCCCTCTTTTTAAAAAAAAAAAAAAAAACCAAAAAATTTACAAAATTGCATAACACCCATATTTTATTCATCTCCGGGATCAACCCCGATCACAATTTTACACAAAAAAAAAAAAAAACAACAACAACAACAAAAAAAAAAACAACCAAACAAACAAACAAGCAGATATGTTTGTTTATATTGAAACTTCAGTAACTATGAGGTGAAACATGTCCTCAAAACTAGCCCCCCATTCCGGATCCATGTGTTGGCGCGGATGGGCCCCTGGAATTTTGAGACTTCTTGATTTGCATCCAACTAATGACCGCCTCATCTGTCGGAAGCTACAACAATATGGATTGATTTGTCGGGTTGTCCATTAGCGAAACAACGAAAGGTATTAGCAGGTCTTCCGGATCAATACCGTGCAGAGAGTATAACGTTGTGAGGCATTTGCCAATCACCTCCTGCGTCAAATTTCCGTAATCATGAAGCACTTGGACCTCGCGTTGTTGTAACTTGACTGAGGACATAAGGTTTTCCATGCTACTTGCCAACTTCGAAGCTCCTTCACTCTGCCCTTTTTTTCAATGCCACTGTTTTGTGGCTTGGATTTTGCATTTGGTCACACCACTTGTAGGTGTGTCATCAACGTGAATTGTCGACGACGCAGTGCATACTGTCACGGGAGTTTGTTCCACAGGTGCATAACAATCCTCCATAGTGTGCTCACTGTGCTGGGCAGGCTAGAAAGGGGGCAGATTGCTATTGTCCTCGCAATCTTCTTCATCCATAGGCAAAGGCATGTCATCCGTTGGGACTGGTTTGAAATCTGCATCGAGTGTCCATGCAAATTTTCCAGTTGCCGTGGCACCTTCGTACACCCTTCGCATAAGTTCCACGTGCTCCAACGGTTTTGTTTTGAACTTCAAAGCATTCTTGTCAATTGGGGGGGGGGAATGTAGAAGAAGAAGAAGACATGGAAGTAATAGTAAGAAAGTAAATGAATAAATCACAATCTATTTTGTTTTACTTTGGTTTTCACAGCAACCAAAGTAATAGTAAGAAAGTAAGACATTTATAAACCCAAATGCATAGATACTCTAGAAATAGCATTATAGATAACAACATTCAAATTTGAGTACATTTGAACAGATAACTATCAGAATAAGTCAATTTTAAAGTGTAAGAATAAAAATTGGCGAGACCCATCTTTTGATGCTCCATTTGGTTGCTAAGAAAATGACAGTCACAGAGTACAAGGATAAACATTTAGAAGTTACAACCCCAGATTCTGAACTACTCTACAAACAACAATGTTTATAAAAACCCTATGGATGACCTTGTCATCGTTTTCCACCATCTGCAGGGCTTCGGTGTTGAAGCGGGTGACAAAGTTGCGCAGCGACTCCCAGAGTAGTGAAGGTCTCTCGCAGGTCGGCCAGATGATCAATGGAGAGCTTGCTCTTGACTAGCATATCGTCGACATATACTTCTATGTTCCAGCCTATCTGGTGATGAAAGACAGCATTAACCCTTGGGGTAGGCAACACGACCATACCGTGTCTCCTATCCTGTTTTTTATTTTTATGTATTTTTCTGTTTTGTTACTCTCTCCAAACTCAAGTTGGTTAGTTCCTACCCTCCTTGAGTTTGCGGGGGGCTGTTAACATATAATATACTTTCATATAATGCCTTAGTAGCTGTAAATGTACATCACAGTGCATTAGGAGCTGTAAAGCCAACACCCACTACCACTTTCAGCTTTAGATTCCACTTTGATATTATTGTAATATATTACCTTATGGCTTCGTACTCCATTGTATCCTTCTGCTCTCTATAAAGAGAGAGACCTAATTCTCTTGTAAACATAGAAATATATACAACAATCTTGTAACATATTCAATCCATCAATAATATACATCAATATATTTTACAAACTATTTTCGAGTAACTATCTTCAGCAAGTCTCTTCCAGATCCAGCCGCTTGTAACATTTGATCATCACCTCCATCAACAATCACTTGGAGGCACCCCTCTCACTTATTTTCAAAACAAATTTTAAAAAATAAAAAACGTGTACCAAATATATTTTTTTATTTTATTTTTATTAAAAAATAAACAAAAACATATTTAATATTTTGTTTATTAAACTATAAATTTCATGGATAAGTAGGTAAAATTCATAACCTTATGGATCTCTGATGCTTGGTTATGGTCCAGCCAGGTAGAAAGTTAAATGGGTTCTTTATTGATTTCCTTTTAGTACAATTTTAGTCCACTGGAATCGGAGTTTACCTAACAAACAGAGAAAGAAAGATCTATCACTCAACATAAAGCTTTTTTTTTTTTTTTTTTTTTCATTCATAAAGACAAGTTTAATTTGTTGGGCCATTGCATTGTTTAGTCATGCTCTCTTATTTTGTGAAGCAATATAGAATATGACACTATTAAAAATTTGACTTTTTGCGATGGCAAAATGCCGTTGCAAATACTCAAAATACAGTCTCAAAAGGTTTTTTGCGACGGCAGATGACTTTTAGCGACGAAAAGTGGGGGGTCGCAACAAAAGGGGTCGCAAAAGGGTTTTAGCGACGGCACGTTGCCGTCGCCTTTTTTTGCGACGGCAAAGTTGCATTTTTGCGACGGCATTTTTCCGTCGCCATTAATACGAAAAAATCTGAGATTTTTTGAGATGGCACTATGTTGCCGTTACTAAAGGTGTTATTTGCGACAGCAAAAAATGCCGTCACTAAAAAAATATTTGAGATAGCACGATGTGTTGTCGCTAAAAGATTATTTGCGACGACAAAGAGTACCGTCGCAAAAAGCTTTTGTCTCAATCTGCCACTATCATTTGCGACGGCAATGTGGTGTCGTCTCAAAAAAAAAAAAAAAAAAAAAAATAAATAAAAAAAACTGCAGTAAAATTATTAAAAATATGAAAATTACATGTATTAAATGAAAAATAATTACAAAAAAATAATTGAAAAAGAAACCAATAATTACATAATAATATAAAAAATCCAGTACAAAAATAACAATTCATCCATAATACAAATATTCTTGCATTCATTCATTACAACACATTAGCAAAATTATCCCACTACACAATATTGCATAATACATACACAATGTTTAAATACATAATGTTGTTCACAATTTAAAATAACGTAAACCAAATACAAAAGTTTCCCTCATGATTTTTCCGTGGATAACAAAAAACAAAAGTAAATCGCAATCTTCACACATCTGTATTCCAAAAGAAGTAAACTGCTACTTGGGAAATATCTGAAAACAAAAAATAAAAATAATTAATGACAATATAATTATGTGTTAATATTTTAATTACAAAAAAATATAAAAAAATTAACTACTATATAATTACAAAGATAATATCTAAGGAAGTCCAAAATATCTTATCTTGCAAATTCCTTAACATAAATAAATAAATAAATAAAATAATTTAACTAATAAAAAACTTTAATATTCTTGAGCACACTTTGTTTGGTATAGCTTTTAATAAGTTAAAAATTAATAATTAGTAAACAGAAATTAAAAACATCCTTTCTGTAACTTTCTAATAATAATTTTTTTCAAATCTTATTTAAACTAATTTCTTTGTAATTTTTAAAAAGTTGCATGCAGTAATTCTCACCCATATTTTCAAAATAAAAAGGTATAACAAACTCCAATAAGCTGCACCCAACAAGCCCTATCATGTGTCAATCTGTAGCAGATAGTTCCTAGGGTTTTCCATGTATGATAACAGTGTACCTATTAACCTGAGGAGAAAAAAAAAACACTGCATGTTTAGCATCACTCGATGCTAACTAGCTCTACTGTGCACCCAAAAAATCACTGAAATTGGAATAACAGAATAGTTACATAACAAGCTATTACTATGTAGATCTATAATCAGTAACTGTGTTTTATTCATCCAAACATAAACAAAACCTCCAAATATTGACAAAATAGGGAAGAGGGGGGGGTGGAGGTAAAAGTTACATAAATGTATTAGGTTACATAAATGTATTAGAATTACAATTTATCATATTTTTTTTTTTTGGCAGATAAGTAAATATAGCCGAATGATGAATTACACCACTTCCAAAAATCAACATAAAAGGAAAAATTAAAGACACTGAATGATCTTTTTAGTGCGCATTTGGTATGTATTAAGAATGTTCAAAATATAATCACCATCCAATTTTTATTTAATTATGCTTGCAAGAAAAGAAAAATATGATTAGAACTTCACTCATATATCCCGCAAAGTAAAATTAATGAACAAACTTTAAAAATATATCTTTGGACCTCAACGATCTTGGGTAGACCCCTTGAAGTGAAGGTGACATGACATGATATTAGGTATGGTAGAAAATATATCTTTGGACCCTTGAGGTGAGGGTAACATGACACGATCTTGGGTATGGTAGAATATGTACTTTCTCTCGGTGAGAGTGGTGAGAGGTCATCACGCCCAGTAACGTGTAGACCAGGGATGGTTAGAGTTGCCCCATTTGTGCTGATAATAAAACTCCAGTTTCCCTCTCTTTAACACCTAGATTTTGAAGGGAAGTATAGAGTTGACTTTTCAATTTGGTATCAAAGATTGGTTGGGCATGTGACTGGTTTGCTGTTTGTCTGACTATTGTATGTTACAGTCCAAGAGGGTATGTTGGAATGTGTCCCATATCACTTGCAGTTGTCCCATCTATGCTAGTTATAAGGCTTCAATTTCCCTCTCCTTAATACTTGGATTTTAAGGAGAAGTATGGGTTGGGCTTTTCAATTGTCATCCCTGGTACTACATCTCTTATACCATGTTACATGGTCTTGGCTAGAACTCGACTCGAAAACCTAGCTTAAGGGTAAGGAGCAAACTCTCTCATTACAACTTCAAATTTGTTTCTTTATAGCATTAGGTGGAATTTTTACCTAGGCAGGAGTAGGTTGAGGAACATCAACTAAGCGCTCTATCGTTTGCAACTGATCATAAGGGGCAATCTGCAAAGAAACCAGATAATGAGAAGAGCACATAATTCAAGTCTTGCAAAGACTTTGATTTTCATCATTTTATTTTAGCATGCCTTCTTCTTTAGGCTCTGATTTTTTATTTTATTTTGTTTTATATAAGAAGACAAAAGAAAAAGTTCATTGCATTGAAAACATGAAAATAGAACTTCCAGATATTCTCTCTCAAACACTGACAGAAAATTAGTGGTCTTGACGTAAGCAGATGTCATCAGTCGAAACCGAGAGTAATTAGCTAGGATAGGTAACTCTCCTAATGCTTTGTGCGAGGTTTTACTGATATCAATTTTTTACCTTCCTTTGTTAAGCACGGATACGTGATGTTAAAATTCACCTACTACACACTTACCTATGTTCTTAAAATAAAGTTTAAAACTCTTTTTGATTTGCCGTGACATTGTTAGATCTCTTTCTTAAATCATGCTATTATAATTGACAAGACAAACATTTCTTTCTTAAGTCATGCTGTGGAAATGTTTTTAGTTTGCATCATATATATGAATGTGGGATAGATGCTTTGTAGAATTCATGTCAAAATAGATGAATAATGATTTTATGATTACAAATGGGTACTACATAATATTTTTCACTACAATATTGTGTGTGCAAACAAGTAAAGAAGTTTCTATAACCAAACACTTTGTCACTTGGTTGAAATCTTATTGTGTGTTTGTCTAATGAATAATGCTTGCAGATTGCAGTTATTTAGCGAAATAAAATAGGTCCAATACCTGGGTAAATCCATCTGGCCATGTTATTGATACAACATAGTTTCCTATTGAAAGAATTTCTTCAGGTTCAATATCTTTGGGAACATCATTATACTGTAGTTTCTGCTCACCAGTCCATTCATCCTGTTCCCAAAAAATAAAAAATAAATAAATATAATAATAATCAATAAATAAATAAATAATAGTTGACTTCAAAAGGAAATGTAATATAAAGTCAAGACATGCATTTGGAGATTCTAAAAGTAATAATTTAACTGAGAAAACGAAAACAAAATTGTCAAGGCCCCTTTTTGTTTTTCTTATTCCATCAAGCTGGTGAATTAAATTAGGGACTCCTCATCACAAAATTCAAAAGTAAAATCATATTTAATTCAAACCGAAATCATCACAAGCAACTAAAATCACAACTACGAGATCTCTATCTCACTGATTCTGTGTGTGCGTGCACATGCGTATACTTATGCTGGAGGCTGTTACTTTCTCTAACGATGTGAAGGACGATAAACCTGATGTTTGACTTCACTCAAATGTTCCAGTTCCAGATCTAGTCCAACAAGGTAAGATAAATCCCCTGTCTGATATCAATATCGTTTTCATCCCTTAAAACAATGAAGTTTTGATTCCTTAACAAAAACAATGAAGTTTTTGAGTCCTGTCTTTTCCCACAAGTCTCTCGTATCTAGGCGGTCGTGTGTGCCAAGTTTCGTGCTAAACCGACGCCGTCTGGTGATTTTGGGTGGTGTATGCCTAAGTTTCTGGAATGCATAATTATTCTTTCCAAAAGACAATGTTAGTGGTGTATGCCTATTCAATTATAGGGCTATCTTTTAACATGACCTAAAAAATGATAATAACTTAGGAAAATTATGAAAAATCATTAGTCAGACACAACAAATGTGTTGATTTTGAAAAGAGTGAAAAATTTCTGGTAACATAGGTCTCTGTGAAGCATATGCCAGGAATACAAGACAAAATGTATCGTGCTAACACAAACCTCACAAGCATTCCAGTTTATTCAGGTCCATCTAAAGCAAACGATAAAAATATTTACTACTTCAAATCACAAGTGCTCAAAGATCCAAATTAGAAAAGGGTTTAAATTGTCTCAAAAGAGCAAGATAAAAAGGACTTGAGAATTTACATATTTCAGCAAGTTTCCATGAAATTCTTATATACATAAATTAGCTCGAATGCATTCAAATTGATCCAAATGTGTTCTCACCACTGTAGGTCATGTACAGGAAGCCATCTTCATCCTTGTTTTCCTCATAAATTGCAGACATCATGGCAGTTGTGGCATGGCAAATACACAAACGAACACAAGTACTTTAAAATGTTCATATTAAAACTTCATTTTTTTTCCGCATTTTGGGTAATGGATTTTTATTGTAATCACCTTTTACATTTAATGTTATGCAGGACATAATAATTTATTTTAAATCAAGTTATTAATTAATATGAAGTTTAAAACATATACAATAGGCAATTCATTTTCATAAAACTTTTATTATAGTATCTACTTTATCCTGTATGCAACTGGTTCAACGCTAGTAAGTAAATCAATGTTGGCATACAATCACAAAATTCAGAAGCCTATGACAGTGAAGATATACATTAACAGTAAAAAATTTCTCACCAGTGGGTGGAAAAATGTTCTTGACAAAGATGAAGATGGCCTTCTCAGCACCAAGCTTTATCCTCTTCTGGACCACATAGACAAACTGCCCAACAGTCAAATCAGCAGGTACCAGATATCTGCATGCATATTATGGACAAAAAAGAACTTCATTAGTTTTGACCAATCTCTAAAACATCTTTTCACATTTGTGACGATAATCATGATAAAACATGGAAAATAAGGTTTAAAAAAAATAGCATTTCTAACTCCAAGCAAAATTATCCTTGAATTACTTTTACCAAACATATTTCAAATGCTGGTCAAGGTGGAGTCCCGTCCACCTCCATTTTTTTTCATAGCCATCTCTGAAAGAACATGAAGTACATTAGAAGATTAATTTCTCATTAGAGTTTTGTAAAAACTTAAGGTGCAAAATTTACCTATTTTTGTGCATTTTCTCTCGGCAGATTCTAATGTATTACATAACTTTTCCTTTTCCTTTTCCTTGATATGGCCTGCCTTCTTCAACTTCTTGAAACCAATTTAAATAGAGCTTAAGTTTTCTTATGTGGTCATTCATTTGTTCCATTTTCCCTTATCAATTCAGAACACATATAACAATATAACAAACTACAAAAAGTTGTACTATTTGGAAAATATTTACCAAAAGTTGGGGGTTTTGCAACTTTTGCTGTGGTTTTGTTGTACAGAGAAAGTTGTGGCCCTATGTATTTGTAATTATTTATGATCTTTTACACTGAATTGTAAATTTCCCATTTTTTTCTTTAATTTTGATCTTCCCATAATAAAAGAAACAATATATATGCTATTGTACTATTTGATTGACTCCATCTCCAAATGAACACAAAAAAGAAAAGGATTCAAACAACCCACCTCTTCCTCTGTCCAGCGTCTCATTGAGGATCGTCTTGTAGACCAGTTATCCTCCTATAAATATGGTACAAAATTATCACTCTGGATATCCATTAATACAAACTACAAGAATTTAATACCTTATATTTAAATAATGAATCCAAAAAGGGGGGGGGGGAGGAAATCAAAAAATGGTTGATTTTACTTTGTTCCACTTTTCAACTGAGTATAAGCTATTTTTTTATAGATTAAGAAAAGTTTTATTCCTTTTCCTTTTGTCATCAAAGAAAATAAGCTAAAATTTCCTTGTTCAAAATATTAAATGGCTTTGGAACCAATAGGCTAATGCAACTTTTTAACGTTCTATTTTCTTTGACCAATTTTCTAGGCAACCAAAGAGGCAATTTAGAAATAAAGTAAATGCAGACAACATAAACAAAAAGGTTGTTTTTCTTTTCCTGAATTTGCCCAGTAACCAAACAGACAATATTGAAGAAAATGAAGGCAAAAAACACAAACCCTTGAAGGGAAACTGGCTTGAGATCAGCACTATCACTATTCACATTGAACTTCAAAGCTCTACCATCCTTTTCTGCTTCGATATCAGACCCCTTAACTTCTTCCATAACTTTCTCCCTCTAAATCAGCTTTTATATGAAAAGAAAGCCCAAATGGATTGACATTCAACGAAGCATTGAGTAGAAGAACCAAACCCTAGTTCAAATCTCGACAATATATTAAAAAAAATGATAGGGCTTTGGATGTAATTAGAGAGAGAGAGAGAGAGAGGGCATACAGTCGTCACTCGCTGCTCGTCGTCGCCGTCGCCACTCGCTGCTACTCGTCGTCGTCGTTGATGACTGTCATCACTCGCTGCTAGTCGTCGTTGTCGATCATCTTCGTCGTCCGTCACCGTCGTTGAATTTTGGCTCAAGGGTTTGGGGATTTTGCTTCAAAATGGTTTTGGGGATTTTGGGTTGGTTCAGAAAGGTTTGGGGATTTTAGGGGAACACATGACCGCGAATAGGCTTAAAATGAGCGGGATAGAAAAAATTTCATTATTTTTTGCGACGGTGCACTTAAACCGTCACAAATGATGAATCCTAACAAATAAAACGACGCCATTTTAACAATACTTTGCGACAGTAAATGTTCTCGTCTAAAAAAAAAAAAATTTGTGACGGTATATCAGGCGTCGCAAATGTTTTATGTTTTTTTTGTGATATATTCATTAGCGACAGGGTCACCACCGTCACAAAAGACTATTTTTTGAGACGGTTTGAAAACGCTGTCGCAAAAGACCATTTTTTGCGATGGTACCTATACCGTCGCAAAAAGTTTCGTGTTATTTGGGCTGTTTTCTTGTAGTGTAAGAAAGTGTATAGAAAGTATATTGTGTGACTAAAAATTCATTCTGGGTACTGTTAAAAATGGTTTTAAAAAAATCATATTTTTTCTCAACTTTGGTCTAATTTTTAGGTGGGATCTATGCGCCAAAGCTGGCGGGTCTAAGTGGTAACGCGTTCTATGTCACGTTGTGATTCACGTAGTATATTTGGTTGCTCAAAATCATTATCGGGTGAATGAGAAATTGAAACCAAAATGAACTCCATGGAAATGGTATATTGGTGAAGTTTCCTTAAAGGTTTAAATTAAAGGTTTGTCCCACATTGGTTTGGTGGGCAAACTTTTGTGGGTTTATAAGGCATGGGTTGTAACTTGGGGAGGGTCCCAAGGGGTACCCAAGTTTTGTGGAAATGTGAGGTTATGGGAAAAGTGAGCTAGACCCATTGGACCCAAAATAAACACGCACGCCCGCCGCCAGCCGTCCGATCGATTGGGTGAGCTAGGCTTGGGCGTAGGTGCATGGTGTGATGTTGGGTTAGGCTTGTTCGGCTATAGCTTGAATTTTTCGTGCCCCCTTTCAGAAGTTGAAATATGCCCTACAGTATCGGACTCCCGAGGTTCTGAATCTAATTCCACTAGTGCAATGTGAAATAGATAAACACCAAAGAGTCCAAATTCGGCGAATCTTTTGAAAAACTGATTTTGAATCAAATTGTCAAAAATAGACTGCTTTACTAGATACAAAGTTGCCACCTAAATGTTTTATTTTGGAAAAATTTAGGAAACCCATGGTTTGTGCCGAAGGCCACGTGTCCGTCATCACCAAGATTGCCTCGGCTTGAGAACTTAGGTACGAGGGGGAATGTCATGAATTGAGCACCCTCGCTCGCCCGATCAAAGATCGGCCTCTACTAATCATGATATGAATCTTATTTTGCATTATATGTTCTTGTTCCGGTTATTACCCATTATTCTCTCACGAAGGAGAGTCCGAATGAATAAACTAACTAGCTAACTATTTAAGCTAAGCTAATTAATTAACTATTACAAACCAAATGAAATAAATTAACTCATAACTAATTAACTACTTTAGCTAATTCAATAATTACAACACAAGTATAATTAAAATAAGTAAGGTAGGTAAACAACTAATTACTCCGCCTCGAGAAGCGAGGAATGTTCACGCGCATGCTCGATTTCCACCCGAAAAACCATTGTTTTGCTTCTAGAGAGCCTCTGTTGCACAATAGAACACATAGGTCGGCTTCGCGATGCTTGTCAGTTCATCTTTCAAAGTTGCATCGTGCATATCATTTGCATCTTGCCCCTGAACTACGCAGGTTTGAGTCCTCAAAGGGATACGTAGGCAACCCTCGGGTTCAACCAATTGTTTGCACATTTGTTTATTTGCCCAAGTCTTCCGACCTTGTCAAAAGGGTCGTCTTTGGGCTTTGACATTCACTCACGTCATGAAATGACTTCGAGCTTTGTCAAAAAGAGGCAACTGTAGACACCCTATTTTGACCGACCCTAAGACTTGGGTGCTTTCTTTTGATTACCCGATGATGACAAGTAGAATGTGTTTTTCACAGAATCCTCAGTAAGAGAGATGGAATTTGAACTTTAATCCCAACGAGTTAGGCACAGTTCACCAGTCCAGTTTCTATAGCAATCACCTCTCATTTCACCTGCATCTAGTCAAGCTTAGTCTTCTACATCTAGTGTAGTACGAGATCATTCGCCCATTTCAATGGCACAGTATCCCCCGGTCGGTATGGAAGACTTGATTCATCATCTTCAACAAATAGTTGAAACCATGTAGCAAGACGCTGCTCGACAGGCCGAAGTCACAGTTCGTCAGGCCGAGGTTTTAAACAGGCTGCAATAACAACAACCACAACCACAACTGGCAGCCGCCTCTGCATCTCATGCACCTCCTGTTCATGTAGCTCTTACGGGTATCCCAACACTCGGAGCCATTGCCCACATCGCTAATGTCCAGGAAAATCAAAGCAATCAGGGCAATCTAGCGGAATCGATCCCAGCACAGGCCTCCAAAGCACTTGTATATCAAACTGAGGTTCCATTTGAATTTGAGTATGGAAATGAGGAATTTTTGTAGCTATGAAAATTTGGAAGTGTTGGCTCAAAATTGAAAATGTAGACAATCTTTTACTCTCTTTTCTCTCTAACTCTCTTGATGCATTCTTATGTTCTTAAATATAATACAATAATATAAATATAATAATATAAAAAGCTATAGGCATATAATATAATAATATAGATATTATATAAAGATTATATTTAATATACCATATATATGTTATGCTGAGATTTAGATGTCGGCAGTCGAGGGCTGACCGACATCAAAATAATTTTTTATTATTTTTCATCAGGTAATCAAAAGAAAGCGCCCAAATCTTAGGACCGGTCAAAATGGGGTGTCTACAGCAAGCAACAAGAAAACAGAAAATTAAAAGAGAGAGAGAGAGAGAGAGAGAGAGAGAGAGAGAGAGAGAGGGATCTTTTTCTTCTTTCTTCTCCAGCAGCAGGCTGGCCGCGAAGATTACAATCGACTTCATTTGTACATAGTTTCATTGCCTGACTTTATCATCAGTTGCCTCGCTTCATCCTTATAATATAATACTATAACTATACATAAAATACTAAACATATAATATTATTTTATTTTATATATAAAAAATATATAATTTATACCAATTTATATAAAAACAACAAAAATATAAACAAACACTTAAAATTATGCAAAATTATAAAAATACTAAACTAATGAAATATTTAGTATTTTAAAAGAGTTTGGCCATAATGGTGAAGGTTGGAATTAAAGTTCAAATTTTATCTCTCTTACTGAGGATTCTGTGAGAAATACATTCTACTTGTCGTCATCGGGTAATCAAAAGAAAGCGCCCGAGTCTTAGGGTCGGTCAAAATTAGGTGTCTACACCGGCCCAATGCTTTTCTGTTAATTTTAAAAAAAATAAGGTAAGTGCCTTGATTATTTTTCTTGTTCCAGATTTTGATTTTGTTTTTGTAACAAAATAAAAATCTATTTTTATTTATTTATTTTTATACTAGTATGATTTTTGTAATCAAACAGTTTCTCTCTTTCCTTTAATTTTTTGAATACTTTGAAGATTGTCCAACAATTTTAAGACAAAATTATTTTCTGTGTCTTCATTGTGTTAATTTTTCTGTACTTTTACAAAGTAATATTCTAGTTGGAAAATACAAATAGTAGTTATGTACTGTTTGATAAATAGTAGTAATATACCGTTTATTTTCTCTGAGAAATAATAGTAATATATTGTTTGTCATTAACAATTTCAGAATATTAATTTGTATAATAGTGTTACAGAAAATTATTATGTAGTATTTTATTTTTTTGGTTTTAGTAACTAGAAAAGTAAAATTATTTTGTGTTATAATTTATTTTCTGATTTTAGTAACTAGAAAACCAATTTGTGTTTTGGTTTTTTTGATTTTTGTAATCAAATATTATGGTTACTACAACTAAAAGTGGTACTCCAATTGTTATAACGACCCTGGTCTCTATTCAGAACCACGTTCAAGTTCCAATAAATCATGGACAAAAATTGAGAAAATTTAATGACACCGAGTTTAAGAGATGGTAGCAAAAAATGTTGTTCTATCTTACAACTCTAAATTTGGCCCAGTTTCTCCGTGAAGAGGCTCTAGTACTGAAAGATGATAAAAGTGATCCGCAAGTTGTTGCCCCTGTAGACGCCTGGAGACATTCTGATTTTTTGTGCAGAAACTACATTCTCAATAGCGTTGACAACATGCTGTATAATGTTTATAGCCCTCTGAAAACAGCAAAAGAATTGTGGGATTCTTTGGAGAAAAAATACAAGACAGAGGATGCCGGCACAAAGAAATTTGTTGTCGGTAAATTTCTAGACTTTGTTATGGTAGACTCCCATACGGTAATTTCTCAAGTTCAAAGTTTTCAATTAATTTTGAATGATATTCATGCTGAAGGTATGTCTTTGAGCGAGTCTTTCCAAATCGCTGCGTTAGTGGAAAAATTACCATTGGCTTGGAAAGATTTCAAAAATTATTTAAAACATAAACGCAAAAAGATGACCATGGATGAACTTATTGTCAGACTAAGAATTGAGGAAGATAACCATAAGGATGAAAAGAGGAATGATAAGAATCCCATTGAGTCCAAGGATATTGTGGTTGAACATGTGCCCAAACCATATAACAAAAAGAGGAATTTTGCTAGAGATGGTCCTAAACAAAGCGACAATAATGGCAATAAGAAGTTCAAAGGAAAATGCTATAATTGTGGCAAGACTGGACATTAAGCCTCTGATTGCCGCTGTCTTAAGAAGGATCGCTGAAGTACAAGCAAGAAGACCACCAATCAAGTCAATGTGACAGAGTTAGATTACATCTCTGACGGGGTAAATGACATCAATCTCTCTGCTGTGGTGTCTGAGGCTAATTTGGTTGGAAATCCCAAGAAATGGGGGTTGGCAGTAGGGCAACTCAACACATTTGTGCGGACAAGAAGATATTCACTGCTTATAATAAGGCTGCAAATGGTGAACAACTTTTCATGAAAAATTCTTCTACTTCTATTGTGGC